AAAGCATCAATTCTTCCACGATCAGCCTTCTTTATGTCCTATTCCATCATGATAATAATTTTGTTATTTATAACCCACCCATCTGACTATCCCTGCAAAACAGGGACACTTGGAGGGTCTGACAGTGGTAGACTTGACCAGATCTCAACAGAGAGCTTTTCTTTCTTCTCCCAGTCTCTTACCCTGGGAGATCTTCCCTTCCTGTCTCTCACTCAGTGTCATTAACCAAACACCCATCATCTTCATGTGTATGGGATACTTGGACCACAATAGCAGCCCAGAGCAGAGGACAGACATTGATGGACATTCCTAACTTAGGTTCACTGATTTCTACTCTTGGTAGAACTTTCCTTGCAGGAACCCTTATGACTCGGGCATGCCTTAAACTCTACAATTGCAAATTGTGGGTGGGATCTGGCAGACGTTCCCATTGGGCTCAATTGTACTTGCGTTAACCCCACTTCCTGCACTGGGTATTGCAAAGATAAGGTTGTGAATGCTGGCTAGACATGATGGCCGCCCTCTGCCTCCATGGCTGGTATTGCTGGAAACCACAGGAGTGATCACTGTGTGAACAAGATGCTGGACAAAGATGGACCATTGGCCTGATCCAACAAGCTCTTCTCATGTTCTTCGATGGACCAATGATCTGACTCAGAATAAGGCGGATTCCTGTGCTTCCGCGACTGCTGAGATAATGCATGTGTCATGCTTTGAAAACTTTAAGTGCCAAAGCCATGCTCGCTGCTATTTCTCACAATAAATAAAGACATTCCTGCTGAGCTTCAGCCATTTACTTCAAACCTCCAGGCTCCTTCTATTTCAACCATTTCTGAAAACATTTTGTGGAATTGTGCAGACAATCTCATGCACAGGACAAAGCCCCAGTCGTCGTCCCCGCAGCATTCCGGTGCTGACTTACGTCACCATTATCAGGAAAGTTTGAGCATTTTTCAAGCAGAGGATATTTTTTGAAGAGCAGCAGCTTTTCGGGGAAATTTATTTATTGTATCACTTTAGACTGTTCATGCCTTTATTAAGGAGCGACAGAAGTTGCAAAAGGGGCAGTGAGAGAGTACTCCGGGGTTGTGCTCTGAAACCACCTCACTGAGCACAGAAACCTGCGAAAGGCTTGTCAGACAGGAACTGCAAATCAGTCTTTTGTCTGATTGAGCTTGGCCCACATCAGAACACTTCTGGCATTGTACACCTGTGTTACTTGCACATTGCATCTTTTAAAAATAAAAGAAACCCAACTAATTATGCAGAATTATATATTACAGTGGTACCTAGGGTTACAGATGCTTCAGGTTACAGACTCCGCTAACCCAGACATATAGTGGTACCTCAGGTTAAGAACTTAATTCGCTCTGGAGGTCCGTTCTTAACCTGAACCTGTTCTTAACCTGAGGTACCGCTTTAGCTAATGGGGCCTCCCGCTGCCGCACGATTTCTGTTCTCATCCTGAAGCAAAGTTCTTAACCTGAGGTAATATTTCTGGGTTAGCGGAGTCTGCAACCTGAAGCGTATGTAACCTGAAGCGTCTGTAACCCGAGGTACCACTGTAGCACCTCGGGTTAAGAACTTTGCTTCAGGATGAGAACAGAAATCGTGCTCCGGCAGCGTGGCAGCAGCGGGAGGCCCCATTAGCTAAAGTGGTACCTCAGGTTAAGAACAGTTCCAGGTTAAAAACAGACCTCCAGAACGAATTAAGTTCTTAACCCGAGGTACCACTGTATGTGTATAATACTGCAGCAAATATTCCCACTTCTGAACCCGTTTTTGTAACCATTGGGACTGCTTTCAGAAACATTAGATCAGGTTCTCTGGCTGATATTCCTTACCCCCAATGTAACACAAATAAACATATTAAAATGTGCATCTTTCTATCTTTGCAGGCTTGCATACCAGACTTGTTCATCACAACTCCCCATTCTCTGTCTTCAACCACTACACTTATGTCCCCTATCAGAAAAAGAAAAGCTTGAACTGGCCTGACTTAATCAAGCCACTTTTATACATTAGTTAAACAAGTTTTGTTCACTCAACATTGATACTTCTGGTATGCTCAGTTGTGAACCGGACACGTTCTTGTGTATCATTTCAGTTTTGACAACATGTCTATGATACTTCTCTGCAGATACGCTTTTTTTTTATTAATAGCAATTGTTTGCATCTGCTGTAGTTTCATTAGATGCTGCTAAAATTATTTTGCTTTCCTGATAGTAGACTGTGCTTAATCAAAATTGTTGCAGAAGTAGCAATGTTTGTTTTTGCTATAGGAGCTAGCAAATCCTTTCATGTAGCTGAATGTTTTGTGGAATGTAGTGCTGGTTTTATTTGATAATTGAGAAAGTACAGAGGAAAACAGACTCCTTCAAAGGAAAATTTGAGTATAAATATCCCTTCCTTTGAGCATCTTTCCCCCTTTCGTTTGAGAAGACCTGTACCACCTTTTGTTCTCATTCTAGAATAGCCTTTTTTTGATTCAGCTCTGCATCAATACATTAGAGTTTTAATGAGAGCTTGTACTCAATAGTAGGTGTGTCATTTGGGGGTGGAGCTTATTTTTTGCAAATTTCTTGAGTGAGAGGTCTTAAAAATTAGGGACTTGTTATACAATGGTACCTCTGGTTAAGAACTTAATTTGTTCCAGAGATCCGTTCTTAACTGTTCTTAACCTGAAGCACCACTTTAGCTAATGGGGTCTCCCGCTGCTGTTGCGCTGCTGGAGCATGATTTCTGTTCTCATCCTGAAGCAAAGTTCTTAACCCGAGGTTCTATTTCTGGGTTAGAGGAGTCTGTAACCTGAAGCGTCTGTAACCTGAAGCATCTGTAACCCGAGGTACCACTGTATACATGCATGGTGCATGTTTCTAAGAATAATTTGTAAGCAATATGGACTAAAATCTCTTCTGTGGTCCCTCTGGGTTTAGAGGCTCTGAAGTTGAGCTTCATTAGTTTCATAGCAGGTCCACCCGTGGCTAGTGGTGGAGGAACCCTTTCTGGCACCCGGGGCGGCACAGCCCAGACGGATTGTGTATGTGCAGCATCCCATGCAAGCACACTCCGTACAGAATGCTGCACATGCACACTCCATACGGGCTGCCACTCACTCGCAGCGGCTGTACAGGCTGCCACTTGCATGGCAACCGTACAGGCTGCTGCGCGAGCAGCATCTTGTATGGAGTGCGCATGTGCAAAAGCCCGTACAGACGCCATGCAAGCAGCATTTCATACGAACTGTGCATGTGTAGCGACCATACGGGATGCCGCATATGCGCAGTCCGTATGGGCTGCCACTTGTGCGCTGCAGCTGTGTGGTTGGCATGCAAGAGGCAGTCTGTATGGACGGCGCAAGAGAGCAGCAGCCCGTATGGACACCGCGCAAGTGGCGCCCTTACAGACTGTGGGCGCCCTCGGCCGCTCTACAGCTTGGAGGAGGCAGGGGCCATCTTATCACCCCTCCCAGAGTGGCACCCAGGGAGTCCCGCCCCCTCCACCACCCCCCTATGCCCTTGCCCGTGGCCAAGCAAAATGGAGCCCTGGGACTGAAAATAGTTTCTCGCCCCCCGGGATTTGGTAAATAACCTCTCTTGCTTCCAAGAAAACAGGCAAGGTGTCTATCACTCCCGCAACCAATTAAACAAAATATCCACCCACACCCAACTCACCAACTTCAGCTTCAAGGCATAGATATTGATAACAGCCCCTCCAAGTGTCCCTGTTTTCCAGGGAAAGTCCCGAATTTACAGAAGCCGTCCCAGTTTCTGATTTGATCCGGAATGTCCCGCTTTTCCTTGGGACGTCCCTATTTTCACCAGAGAAATGTTGGCAGGTATGGAGTTAAGCGACCCCTGAGCCAAGGAAATAAGTAGCTATGCAACCTTTAGAAAACATATGAAGGCAGTCCTGTATAGGTAAAGGTAAAGGTAAAGGTAAAGGTACCCCTGCCCGTACAGGCCAGTCTTGACAGACTCTGGGGTTGTGCGCTCATCTCACTCTATAGGCCGGGAGCCAGTGCTGTCCGCAGACACTTCCGGGTCACGTGGCCAGCGTGACATCGCTGCTCTGGCGAGCCAGAGCCGCACACGGAAACACCGTTTACCTTCCCACTAGTAAGCGGTCCCTATTTATCTACTTGCACCCGGGGGTGCTTTCGAACTGGTAGGTTGGCAGGCGCTGGGACCGAGCAACGGGAGCGCACCCCGCCGCGGGGATTCGAACCACCGACCATGCGATCGGCAACTCCTAGGTGCTGATGTTTAACCCACAGTGCCACCCGCGGCCCTAGTCCTGTATAGGGGGGAGTTTTATAATGTTTAATGTTTTATTGTGTTTTCATATATGTTGGAAGCCACCCAGAGTGGCTGGGGCAACCCACTCAGTTGGGCGGAGTATAAGTATAATACTACTAATACTGCTAATACTACTAATGCTGAATAATAATAATAATAATAATAATAATAATAATAATAATAATAATAATAATATAGAGTATGATGTCCTATTTTAACAATATTTAGCTAGTATGGAACACAAGCTTCACCATGTTTGCTCTGCACTGAGTTTAGTTAGAACTGCTGTCTTTCAAGTATACATTAGCTAGTTTCTTAGAGCTCTGCCAACAGAACGGAGTACCTGGGTTTTGTTTGCTCTCCTTGTTGTTTGAGATGATTCCACCTTAGTCCCTATGATAACAAGGCAATCTCGCAGCAGTCACACCGAGATACCGTCCCAGCTTCTCGACCAAGGGGCAAGCGACCTCCTTGCTAGGTCAAGCAGGGTGTCTCTGACATTGATCTCAAGAACAGAAGCGGCACTGGCTTCTACACTTCGAGGAGCCTTCAAGCACCTCGGCCTATGAGGGCCTCTGGAGGTCAGGGGAGAAGGTAAAGGCATAGCTTTTCAGGGCAGAAAGAAGCACAGTAGATCATCCTCCCAGAGGCGCACCCAATTTCCCCCAAAGGGATGGGATTCAGTGAAAGGGCTGCAGTTGGGGAGGCGCATAGCTCAGTGGTAGAGCATCTGCTTTGAATGTAGAAGGTCCCAGGTTCAATCCCTGGTATCTCCAGGTAGGGCTGGAAGAGGCTTCTGTCTGCAACCCTCGAAAGCTGCTACCATTCAGCGCAGACAGAACTAGCTGGATTAATTTTCTCTGTATAAGGAAACATGCAATATCCCCAGTTAGCTGGCTGCAGGGTCTGATCAGGCAATAAGCCTGAAGCATAGGGCTCTGTGGGGACGTGGCTGCAACACAATTTTCAATGAGGGGACCAGACCCTCTTAATACTCCACAGCCAGGCGGGCTCCGTCACAGCTCATCGCAGCAGCAGGAGGGCCCGTCGCAGCCTGTCGCAGCCATGGCAGGTCCCAACTGGCCCTTGGAGGGCACACCGGGGCTCCTCCCAGGGAATTACACCACACATGGGGCATGCAACATTAAACGCGTGCACCGGGCACCCGCAATGTTGGGCAGAACCCGGTGTGCCTGGCTTCAGGAGTCAAGATGCTGCCTTTTGTTTGAAGGGCGCCAACTTGAGTAAAATATTGGGGAGCCCAGGTAAGTTGTACCCCTGATCCTAGCAACGGATATACCTAGTGCAGGTGAAGGTATATTCACCCCACATTTTATCCCCAAAACAGCTCCATGAGGTTTATATAGCTGTAAATAAAACATTTTAAGTGTGTTGTAAAGTGCATTATACATATGTGACACTAGATGGCGTAGGCGAGCTATGGCAATTTCAATATATTTTTCAAAATGTTTTTGTTATGTATTGAAGTTCTCACCCTGGCCACTAGAGGTATTGTGTATATAGTTTTCATTCAGGTCCACGTAAGTTAATTTAGGCGGGAAACCCTGGGTTGCTGTTGTTACAATGTTGACAGCTGGCTGCCTATAAAAGCAGGCCGGCTGAGCTGTTTGCAGTTCAGTTCGGTTCCAGCTTACTATAAAGAACCACTTGGAGAAATCTCTGTGCCGACTGCTATGTCCACCCACTAATTAATAGTTTTCCTTTTTAAAACAGCATTTTCACAACGTTTTTCCTATGTGTCTAGATTCCACCCTGGTCTCAGAAACAGCGACTAGTCCAGGGCTACTGTGAATTCTTCAAGCTGAAATGGGTTTTTAACAAAACTCTCCCCAAGCCCAAGTTCTTGGGCATCTGGCTTGCTTACCTGCCCACCCCAGATCCCAAAGTCAATGAGGGCTGGCTGCAAAATTATGCATCTGCCCGCTTGGGCCTAGTTTTAGGACCCACCAGATTTCCAGTGACTGTAAGTTGTTTTAAATTGCTTTTAAATATTGTATTTTAATTGTTGTAACCCGCAGTGGAATCTTGGGGTAAAGGGTGGATTAATATCCCCAACAACACAGGTGGAGAGCTTTACCCTCCAAGTCAACTGAAGGAGGCGCTCCTAGTTAATTGTTTTAAAAATGATAAGGAACTAGGAATCACTTCCTCTCTCGTCTTAGCAGAGCTCTGTGAACCCGCCCCATGGGGCAAACAGTTTGCATTTTCTCTCTCTCTCCCTCTCTCTCCTCTCTCTCTTTAATGTCAAGGGCAGTAAGAAATGTTGTTGGAGGTTTTTACCCAATCCCAGCTCTCTTGCCCCCCAGCAGCCCTTTTATAAGTTTGTTTATAGGGCTCGTTGGGAATAAAGTCCAAACGTGGAAAAGACAGAAAGGCAGCAATGCCCATAAGCTGGGGGGGGGGTAACCCCTCAAATATTTTATTTGAGGGCCAAAGGAAAACCTGGGGGACTAGAAGTTGGTGCCTATGCCCCTAACTTAGCCCAGGCCCTAACAACCTCCTAACCTGAAATATACTCGGAGTCAAGAGTGGATTTCATGCTCTTTATTCAGCTCAAAGTGGTGAGGAGGAATGGAAGTCCCCCCAAAGTATCTGCTTTATATACATTATTTACACAATGGGCTGCACGTGATTGGCTAATTCCGGAATTCTCCTGTAGGCCAATCAGGTTGTAGATTCACTTCCATCTGGAGTTGGATAGGGTGGCTCCTACAGACCAATCATACAGCTGCATTGTTCTAGGACCAATCAGACCGCTGCATTTTGGATCCTGTTGTTCTAGGACCAATCAGACTGCTGCATTTTGGATCCTTTTCAACTCAGTACATAACATAACCCTGTCAACTTCAAGAACCAACCATTTAATAACGCTTCAGGGCTCAGTTTCTCCAACGACAGTGTACAAACTGAGGGAAAGAATCACCTGCAAAGGCTCACCTGAGAGCTGGAGGATGGAAATAGCATAGGCATACAGGGAACTACTTGATATCATGCCAGGCATTTGGCCCATCTAGCTCAGAACGGCCTGCGCTGACCGGCAGCATCTCTCCAGGGGTCCAGGCAGGGAGGTCACCCTGTCTGTTATGTACTGAGTTGAATAGGAACCAAAAGGCAGCAGTCTGATTGGTCCTAGAACCCTAGGATTCAGAATGCAGCAGTTTGATTGGTCCTAGAACAATAGGGTCCAGAATGCAGCAGTCTGATTGGTCCTAGAACAATAGGATTCAGAATGCAGCAGTCTGATTGGTCCACAGGAGCCACCCAATTCAGCTCCAGGTGGAAGTGAATCCGCAACCTGATTGGCCTACAGGTGAATCCTGGAATTAGCCAATCACGTGGGGCCCATTGTGTAAATGTAAAACTCGCTCTACGTGGGGCTGCCCTTGAGACTGACCCAGAAACTCCAGCGGGTGCAGAATGCCGCAGCGAGACTCCTTATGGGGTCTTCGCTGCGAGATCACATTCATCCGGTGCTATACCAGCTGCACTGGCTCCCGGTGGAGTACAGGATCAGGTTTAAGGTGCTGGTTCTAACCTTCAAAGCCCTATACGGCCTAGGACCCTCGTACCTACGGGACCGCCTCTCCTGGTATGCCCCACAGAGGAACTTACGGTCCTCAAATAAAAACATCTTGAAGGTCCCAGGCCACAGAGAGGTTAGGCTGGCCGCAACTAGAGCCAGAGCTTTTTCGGCTGCAGCTCCAACCTGGTGGAACGCCCTGTCGCAAGAGACAAGGGCCCTGCAGGACTTGACATCTTTTCGCAGGGCCTGTAAGACAGAGCTGTTCCACCAGGCCTTTGGTCAGGGCGCAGCCTGACTCCCTCCTTTGGCAATCTCTACAAAGCTTTAGTCTATGGTTGCCATCAATTTGTATTTTAATTAATTTTTAGAATGTATTTATAATGTTGTACTGTTTTAGTGTTGTTAGCCGCCCTGAGCCCGGCTTCGGCTGGGGAGGGCGGGATATAAATAAAATTTATTATTATTATTATTAAATAATGTATATAAAGCAGACATTCTGGGGGAAGTTGCATTCCTCCTCACCACTATGAGCTGAATAAAGAGCATGAAATCCACTCTTGACTCCGAGTATATTTCACCTTTCTAGCTCTAGCTCAGGTAGTATCTCTCCAGGGGTCCAGGCAGGGACATCTCCTAGAACTACGTGGAGATGTCAGGCAAATTGAACCTAAGACCTTCTACATGCCAAGCAATGCTCTGCCGCTCATCTGCCGCGCCTTCTCTGACGAACCGAACTGAACAAGATCGGGTCTGTTTGGTTCAGCTGCCTTGCAAAGGCAACTGGAAGCACAGGTTAGGACTTGAATCACCCTGAATGCGATTTCTCCTTTTTAGCCTTTGTGGCTTCTTCCACGAAGACAAAACCCACAGGGCGTCGCGGAGTGTGTAGCGAAAGGACGGCGTAACTTGACGTGAGTGACATCACGGAGTTAAGCAAATTGGACAGAGCAAGTGACTCAAGGCGACTTTCCTTTCCCGGCGACAACATGGGAGCCCGCCGATGTCTTGCTGCAGCGACGGAGGCTCTCCTGATTTCCAGGTCAGTGGATGTTGGGAGCCTCACCGACATGACACTGCAGACCACAGAGGAAGGAGCAGAATCAATAGCAGATGCACGAAAGGGCACTTTGTTGGAGAGACAAAGGAGAGAGCGCCATTCCCTGTAAAATGGAAACCAGGACGCGAAAGAGCGGTGGGGGAAAGGGGACTGACAGGATTCTGAATTCCCTCTGAATCAAGAGAAAGCTTCGCGTCTCTCTGTCCGGCTGCTGGTAGAATTTACCTCGGCCGATCCCATAGACTCGAGTTACCTTGCCGTGTTTAAAGTGCTTCTCCCCTCAGAATTGAGTACATGGTTGCATTCTGGCGGTTGGCAGGCAATAGAATCTGATTTGACAGCTTCTGATGGCTGAAAGTTTCCGAGGGCACAACCAGACATGGACATACAGTGGTACCTCTAGTTATGAACTTAATTCGTTCTGGAGGTCCATTCTTTTTTTCTTTATAATTTTTTAATTGAATGTTTACACATAACAATTATTCCAACAAATCATCTTCATTATATTTTCCCCCATTTTTTCCCTCCCCCTCCCCCCATACCCTCCCTCCCCCCTACGACTTCCCTCAGTTCACTTTCTCTTGGAATACTAGAAGTTGGGTTCATCCAATTATAATGGAAGATTCAGGATGGGGAAAAGGAAGTACCCGTATTTTTCGCTCTATAAGACGCACCAGACCATATGACACACCTAGTTTTTGGAGGAGGAAAACAAGAAAAAAAATATTCTGAATCTCAGAAGCCAGAACAGCAAGAGGGATCGCTACGCAGTGAAAGCAGCAATCCCTCTTGCTGTTCTGGCTTCTGGGATAGCTGTGCAGCCTGCATTCACTCCATAAGACGCAGACACATTTCCCCTTACTTTTTAGGAGGGAAAAAGTGAGTCTTATAGAGCAAAAAATATGGTATTTTCTTCACACTGCACAGTTATGGTAAGGAATTTGCTTCCACAGGAGGTCGCGTCAGCCAACAACTCTTCATTCTGAGAGGAGCTGCTCATTTTGAACCTTTCCCGGTTCTACAATAGCCTTTTGAGTGAGGCAACTGGAACTGCTCACAGTATTCCAAATGCGACCACACCACAAATTTGTACAATGTACGGTGTGGATGTGAGCCTAGCCCTTGTGGCTAGTAGCCATTGTCAGCTTCTCCTCTGCGAATTTGTCTAATCCTTT